CTTAACCACAATACCGGGCGTAAGTCATTACATAACCCTGCGCAACAAAGTCTACTATTTTGACAAAATATATTATACCTTTAGCTAATGGAGACAGAGTGAGACAATGTACGAGGACTCCACCAGCACTTTGACCGAAGATAGTGACATTTTCTGGGTCTCCACCGAATTTTGATATATTTTTCTGGACCCATTGTAACGCCATGATTATATCCTTCAGACCTTGATTACCCGTTGCCACTTTGTTGTTAAGGTTTAGGAAACCTGAAGTCATTAATGCATCTTTTTTTTTATAAAGTCGATTTGTTTAAATTAAAAAAAAAATGGTTACTTCATATCCCAAGGAAAAATCGAGCCATAACTTGTTTCTAGTATACCTACACTGATCGTATATGAGCGGCAAATATAAATATTAGTCTTGTATACAAAAAGTAAATAACGTATTGTAAACGTGATATAAATAAATGTGGATTTAAATTTTTTTCATTTTTGAAATGTATAACTTTGGGAATGAAAGGTCTGTAAGAAATCAACATAATCAAGTGAAATAATCGTTAAAATAGATACAATATAACCATTTAATATTAAATGCCACAAAATGACGTACAATGATTGTATACTGAAACGAATAATTAACGTACCTAGAACGCCTAGTCTATAATTCAAGGTAACCAAAACTACGTCTTTTTGCACGATGTAATCGGGGCCATAGAAGGATGCATCACCAGAACCCGTATAAAAGGCACCGCCGTGTATCCATACCATAACGGTACGTTTTTTTAAGGATTCAATTTTCGTCGTGTACACATTTAAATAGAGACAATCTTCATCACCCTTAATTTCGCGTGTGAAATCATTCAATTGAACAGCGACATTTCCGTACTTTGAGGCGTCTCTACCACCGGACCATGGTTCCGCTGGTACCGGATCCTAAATACGTAAAATTCATTCATATATAGAATTTTTCAAAATTTGTGCGCGCCGTGCGATTCTCTGAGTCAAAAGAAACAACTTTTTCCTTACGTAAAATTGCGTTTGAGTAGTACTTCTTAAATAAGAACAATTAAAAGTTATATAACGAATGAGCTGTAAGTTCCGCATGAATCAGGAACGGCATGCACTGGACGTCTATGCTATAGTTTATCTTTTTTTGTGACTAATATCTTTAAACTTAATTACTAATTTATATTATCAACAAATTGTTTAACAAATTAAAAAATTAATTTATGTTGCAAATAAATTGTTCGAAATCAGTTATTTCTTCGAACAATCGCGCATAAAAATTTGTTTATCATAATCTTTTTTAGTTTATTAAATTATTGTTCTAAATAATAGTATTTTATTATTATTATTTTATGTTTGTACACTAAAAAATTCATGATTTTTAAAAAATTTAATTTAATTTCTGTGAATTGTGAGATAACTAACGCAATTACAATTATGATATTTTGTTGTAATAAAACTTATATTTTTTCTTGTGGCAGAGGTCAGCTATGATTCACTTGTCAATTCGCTTACAGCGCTATTTATTCAAGAAATCACAACATGGTTTACAAGAATAATGACACTTTAGCCTCATGCAGCGGATTTCGCATATAAACTTGTGATACTATTGTAGCACATAGGTAACATTTTGGGCGTATTTTTTATGGGCTCAACTCAAAATCGAAATTTTTTAAGTTGTGACAGTATTCTTCTCAGGGTGCGATATGTATAGATAAAGAAAAACCGATTATATAACAAAATTATATAATTGCATGACACAACTGATAAATAGCTTTATCAGTGTCGTTTAATCGGATTTTCCTCTAAAAGAATTGTGACTTTTCGTATTTTTCTAATTTTCTTAAAGCGCGATAAGTGATAAGACTGATAAGCGATCAGAGCTGCGATTCTGTAACTCTTTATGCAGTATTGTTATCGCTATATTGTCATTGCGCACCTCTTTTACGACACAGAAAAAAAGGAATGTCAAATCAACACTGATATACTTGTATATATACGCAAGAATATATAATCTTCAAATAAGATTTATTGCGTTGAACGAAGAAAAAAACTTGCTTGAATGAAGTAATTTATATAGTTAAACGAAGTTTTATATGCGGTTCAATTAACAAGTAAGAAAAATAACTTGAAATAATAAGTTGAAATTTTTATATAAGAAGATTATATATTCTTGCGTATATACAAGTATATCAGTGTTGATTTGATACTTTTTTTCTGTGCATATAGTATAATCCTGCGCAACTGTCGTTATGAGTGCATAAATGACAGCATAACGAGTTACAGACGAGAATCGTACTACAGTTAGACTAAAACTAAAATTAATTTATCTTTTTTTGAAAATGCATTCATAATAATAGAACTTTACGTACTTTGAATCTAAGTTCTCCAATTGGCGGTTTCGCATATGGTATTCCTCGAAAGGCGGTGTAGTAGTCACCGTAAACACCTTTTTCTACAATACCAATTAACTTTCCCTCGTGCACGCATATTTCGACTCTGCTGTTGTCCATGTTGGATACGCTGGAATACTGACGAGCGGACTGACAATCTTTGTTGCGTAGATGTGTTTGTGAAAATATCAATTATAGTTTCAAGAAACAAGTGAGATTAGAATCGAGTATGTTGATAAAGTTTTATTTATAGCCTACGCCGATGATTGCGTGCATTACGTAAAAGTCAGTCTACAATGAGTCGTCACTATTATAACACATAGATAACAGGTACCTACACTTTTTATGGGCTTAACTCGAAAAAATTTTGAAATTTTTTGAGTTGTTACAGTATATTCTTGTCGGGATGCGATATGTCAATAGATATAATTTTTTCTTGATAGTGATAAAACTGTATTATATATGATAAGACTAAGACTTTCAATTTTTATGTAGAGATCAAGAACATAAAATTCACATAAAGATAACAACACATTAAATCACATAGATTAATTTACTACTTTTATTTACAGCGTTGAAAATTATTTCTTAGAAATTCTAAAAACATAGAAATATTATTAATTTAATTATCGCTTGAAGTTTAGGGGTATAAGAAAAATAAACTGCTCTTGGGTAACATAATAAATTTAATTATTTCTAATTTTAGAATGAGATATAACTGACTATCGTATTTAAAATAAATTTTGGGCTTTAATATATAATATATAATATAATATAATTTTTAGACTCGCAAAATATTAACATGACGTTGGTACTTCGACTGGAACATCGCTATTTCTTTTACGATTTTTTTTCCCTGATAAATTTTGCTTTTTTGTCATGATCTTCGATGCCGCGGTGATTACCCACAATACCAATGATAATTACATCCTATACATTTTTTTATGAGTATAGAAGCATTTAAAAAATTTCACGGTTAGCTTTGTTTTTTTTAATGGAATGTTATATTTTTTGTGCCATTGTTAGAAGGTATGTTTAATTTTGCACTTAAATGTATTATTATTGATTGGCCTAAACCTAATAGATATTCAAGGAAATAAAAAATAACGAGGAATTG